CTCTCTCTCACACTCTCTCTCGCTCGCTCTCTCTCTCTCTCTCTCTCTCTCTCTCTCTCTCTCTCTCTCTCTCTCTCTCTCTCTCTCCCCTGTTGCTGTACCACAGCTGTTTGACATTCTGTCTTGCCACGAATGAATGAATGCACTTGCAATAGTGTGTCAGCATATAATGGAGACGACGGCTTAACTCGAGGTTCCTCTCGGGGTGAGAAAACTCCTCTCCCCCGATCCGAGCGGCTGCGATGGTGTGGACCCTGCAAGAGAATCTGCTATTTTTAGGTCGTGTTGTGTGGCCGACGATAATGGCAGAGAGATCCACTTATCAAGCCAGCGAATAGAGCCGTTACTTTGTCAGAGGAGGATCTTTTTTTCTGTCGCCTCTCCAACTATTATGGTATTAAGCAACCTGCCAAAAATGTGTCATTCGAATTTGTCACCTTATTGTCTGCTGTCTTTTCACCTCTCCCAAGGAAGTTGTATTTTCACTGTTCACATGTTAGATTACGGGATAAACTGGTCTTTTGAGCACGGGCCAATCATTTTATTTTTTTGTCCAGGGCCCATTGAACAACCAAAGTCAACACCAAATCAATCAAGACAGGACACATTAAAAAAAAAAAAAAAAAAAAGGAAGGACCCTTGGTTGGAATTGAACAGGAAGTCTGCAGCCATTTTGGGCAAACTTCTGCCAGCTTGAATTCCACTAGTTTTGGCGTAAAACCAAAGGTACAGCTCTAAGTTTCCAGGAGACATGCAGCGGAGAGTTGAGATTGTGTCTGACGAGGCCTCCTGCAGGGTGACATTCTCCCGTCCGCACACCGCCAGGCCTCGTGCGCCTCCCTTCCCAGAACTCGCCAGCTGGTGACTCATGCAGGGCGACCACAGTGCAGCACAGTCTTGGCTGTTGCTCAGTGGACGGACGGACAGGACACCGCCGCCACTGACCTTTTGTTTTTCTACAAGGAGCCAGTCACCGAAATGTCTCGCTAAATAATCACTCCTCCGCTTCCTGGCCCATGGCGCAACTCCTCGTCCGCTGGGGGTTGTGGCCGCTGTCCCCTCGGTGACTTCATGCGCTGTTGATGGTTTTTATTTTGGAGACCACATTTAACATCCCACCACGTCTCGCTCGTGTCCACAAGAAGACCTCATTTTGGTGGCAGTTTTTTCCCCCTCATATCCTGCAATTAAAAAAGCATGTTTCCTTGATTATTTCGGTGAGAGCACTGTCCACGGAGGGCCTAAATGGGATGAAAATGTTCTCAAATATTCTCTGCGCTGTATTTAGGCCCTTTCCTCGTTTCTTGGTTTGATGACTCAAAGGCAGCATATCATGCACTGTCTTGAAGAGGCGGATTTCTGCGACATTTCCAGCGAGCCACACCGCAGTTTGGTTTGGTGAATTATCGTGGTACCTCTACTTACGAAATTAATTGGTTCTGGAAGAGATTTCTGAACTAGAAAAGTTTGTAAGTAGAGACGTGTTTTCCATGTAAATGCGCTCATTTGTTCCAAGCCCCCCAAAATTCAGACATAAATGTTTTATAAAGAATAAAAATGCATCAAAATATGTAACAAATACATGTTGCAATTAGATTATTGTGCAATAAATCAGAGTTGTGCATCATGTAAAAAACAAAGAATAAAGAATGAAAATGATAGTGATTTAACTTTTAACTGCGTCCTTGTCATTTTTTGCCCTCTTTAGTTCATGTTCTCCCGCAGAAGTGGTTTTTGCCTGGCGTTTTGTCAAGAACTGATCCAAGGACGTTTGCTTTTGTCGGCTTTTAACAATCCTTCGATAATGTCCAAGGCAAACATCAGCATAGTGGGCCATTGCCCGACTGATGAACACTTTTTCTAGGTGATTCACATTTACGTAAAACTATCGGAACACCTCATGGCCCGATTAGTGAATGACAATGACGCTGCACAGACTCCTAATTATCTATCTCTACACAGACACATACTGTAGAGGTCCCTCTTAGCCAATGGGATGCCAGGAAGATGCTCGGTCATAGCCAATGGCGGAGCAGCGCTAAGTATGTT